CAATTTATTTATTTTTTAATTTATATATGGGAGTGGAATGTATTACAATTCTTATTACACATATAGAGCACAATTTTTCATATCTCTGGTTGTATACAAAGTATATTCACACCAATTCAGGTCTTCATACATGTACTTTGGATAATAATGATCATCACATTCCACCATCATTTCTAACCCCATGCCCCCTCCCTTCCCCTCCAACCCCTCTGCCCTATCTAGAGTTCCTCCCATTTTCCTGCTCCCTAACACATTGTGAATCAGCCTTCTTATATCAAAGAAAACAATCCACATTTGGTTATTTGGGATTGGCTAACTTCACTTAGCATTATCTTCTCTAACTCCATCCATTTACCTGCAAATGCCATGATTTTAGAACACATTGTAGTTTGGTTTTAACTGTCTATGAATAGACCATTGGAAAAGATGACCTGGTATTTAATTCTATTTAGAGACGATCACAAGCAGTGTGTTTGATAGATAGTGCTGCCAGCCCATGAAGTACCACTAGACTTTATACTCTGGAATACCCAAAATGTATGTGAGTCCTGAGGATTTGTGCTATTCCAGAAGACTTTTGAGGCTTGACCTCAATTTCAGTTCTTAGATCAGTTCTTAGATTTGAAGTGCTCTGTGTTCTACCGTTTGGTAGATGGGCATCAGATTCCATTAAGGATTCCAGATCATTTAAGGAAAAGTGTAAGTTTATCAGTTACTTCTTTCACAGATGAATGCTTTTGACATTGTATCTGAAAGTCATTGCCAAACCCAAGGTCACCTATATTTTCCTCTTAGTTATCTTCTAGAAATTTTATAGTTTCGCATTTTATATTGAACTCTATAATCTATTTTTAGTTAAGATTTGTAAAAGGTATAAGGTTTAGATCTATGTCTCAATTTATTTTTTTGCCTTGTACGTATATGTCCAATTTCACCACCTTTTGTTGAACAGACTTGCTTCAGTGAATTAACTGCCTTTGAGCCTTCATCAAAAAACAGTTGACTCTATTAGTATGGGTCTGTGTCGAGGCTCTCTATTTTGTTCTCTTTTTTCTTCTTTTGCCAGTACCACACTTTCTTGAATACTGTAACTTTATAGTAGTGTCAGTTCTTTTACTTTGTTTTTCTTGATATTGTATTGGTTATTGTTTTTTTTTTAAACCTCTTCATGTACTTGGAATATTCCTCTATGTATTAAGATCTTCTTTGATAGTTTTCATCAGAATTTTACAGTTTTCTCATATTGATCTTATACACATTTTGTTATATTTGCACCTAAGATTTCTTCTTTGGCTGCTCAAACAATTTTTTAAGTTTAAGTTTTTAAATTTTTTATGTTAGTTAGTGCTTTGGAATCAAACCCAGTGCCTTGGGCATGTTAGGCAAATGCTGCATCACTGAGCTACATTCCCAGTTTAAATTCAGTATTTTTTGGATCTTGATCAAAGTATGCATATTTATGTAAATAATTTTTAGATATAAAAAATAATTTAACTAGAAACAAAGAAAGATATAAACGAGTCTTAGTATCTGGCAGTGTTGGTTGAGTTATGTGAACTATCTTGAAGTTCTGCCCCTGGAGTTGTTAGTCTTCAGGCAGACTACTATCTCTTCACCACCTCAGTACCCTTTTCTTTCCTCTACATTTTTTTTTTCTCATCCTGCTTTTCTTTTTCTCATACCAACTAGCTTATCTGTTCCTTTTTAAAAAATATTTATTTTTTAGTTTTAGGTGGACACAATATTTTTATGTGGTGCTGAGGATTGAACCCAGTGCCTCACGCATGCTAGGCAAATGTGCTACCACTTGAGCCACATCCCTAGCCCTTTATCTGCTCCTTTAAAAAAAAAAAATTATTTGTAGATTGACACAATAGGATTGAACCTAGTACTTCACACATGCTGGGCAAGCCCTCTACCACTGAGCTATAGCCCCAGCCCTTATCTGTTCCATTTTATCTTTCCTTGATCCTAATGCATTTATTTTCATTTTAACTCTTCTCAACATTTACCTACTTCAAGCAAGGCGATTTTGAAAGTTCCTGCAAAAAACAATAAACTGAAGAATGTTTTGGTTCTAACAATTATTTGTAACTGATAATAATAACTAGATGAAGTAATCTTTTTTCAGTTATCTTTTATTCCATGTTAGTAGTTTTTAAAAATAAAAAGTGACTTGATGATAAAATTGTAATAGATGTTATCAAAGAAGAAGCCAAGACATAGGGCACAAGAGGGCTCATGTTTACATGTACAGCCTTTTACCAAGATTCCTTTGTTCAATCAAGTGGCTGAGAGCATCTTGTATTTTAATTAATTACAATGTAATGAGAATACATACTCTAATGTTTTTGAAATAAGTAAATAAAGGAAAATACGGAGTCATACAATCCAAAGTCAGTGTTTTTAGTAGAGTTGGTTTATTTGTGGAGGGGTTTTTGTTTTTTGTAAACCTTCTTGTAAAATGCCCTTATGTAGTCAGTTCTGTTTTATCTGCGTTGATGGATTTAAATTGGTAATCCATCCAGATGAGAATCCTAACCTTGGAGTCAGAAAGTGCTTGGAGGTGGTTGTATTTACTTCCTATGTATCGGAGAGACTCTTTAACAATGCCTACTGCACATCCACTACAGATTTCAGTTTCCTACATACTGCTTTGCAAGACAGTTAATTCCATTATGATTTCATTTATCATAAAATGACTCTCTTAACTGCTCTGTCTTCTATAGTAATAGGGGAGTATAAAGACCAAATTGTATCCGTCAGGTGTGTAAATACAATATATAGAGAGAAATGCTCATGTAATATAGGTATAACCCCCTAGCTTTCTTTCCTTATTTCTTTCTTTTCCTCTCATTTATTTATTATTTACTGTCTTTTTAAAAATATTTATTTTTTAGTTTTAGGTGGACACAATATCTTTATTTTATTTTTATGTGGTGTTGAGAATCGAACCCAGTGCCTCACGCATGCTAGGCAAGCGCGCTACCATTTGAGCCACATCCCCAGCCCATGTCTTTTTTTCTTTTTTATATTTAGTTACTCAAAACTGTTGGAATGAAGAAATGAATAATGATAATAAGTAATACCTAATCTTACAGAGTTAGGAGGATTAAATGGTCAGTCACATGAGGATTAAATGGTCACATGTATGAAGTTTTTGGCACAGTACATGGTACATGGTAAACATTTAATTAATGCTAACAGTACCATGCTGGCAATGATCTCTATCATCAAGTCTTTTCCTGCTAGATAAATAGGGAAGATAATTATTAACAACTAACTTTAACAGAAGGCTGAATTGAATAAGCAAAGGTCTTATTCCTGTAAAGGAGCGACGAATTTCAGTTAGAGAATCAAGGAGGAATCCTCTCCTTTAAACATTGAAGTATGAATAGAATCTCCTTAAAGAGAATGCAGGATTCTAGATTGAGAGGTTACCTGAGCAGAAAGCACAGAGCTGAGAAAGTGTGTGTGATGGATCCTTAGAAGTCAGACTGCACAGGTTTTGATAGCGATGATGGGAAGATTGTACTTTACTCCAAAGGCTTTGGGTGATCTTTTCAGGTCTTTGAACTGAGGCCCCATTTTGCAGTCATACAGTAAATTAAATGTGATTATTGTGTATAGATGATTAGTGGTTCCTGTAAATTTAAAATTTGGACAGAAATGGCTAACGGAAAGTGTACAGCAGGAGAAAATGATTGTAATCCAGGATGTGAAATGGAAATCCCGGGCAGATTGTGCAAAAATTAGTTTTTCAGAGTAAGCCCTAGAAAACTTTTGAAAATGTTATTTGGAGCTTTTCATACTTAGAGGATTAAGCAAATTTATTAGGTAATAACCTCTCTAAAAGAATCTTAATCTCTAGTTTGGGAGAAAGGATTGAGTTGGTATGTGTATGGAAAAGGAGCTGGGCCCTTCTGGCCATCTGCCTGTGTAACTGAAGATGAACTACATCAGGAGAATGGACTGGCTTTCAGCCTGAAGGGAGAGCTGTAAGCACATTTTGAAACTGAGCACTTGGTTTCTGTTTTTAAGTCTCTGAAGAGAATTCTCTGACATAGGGAATTAGCTTTGGGGGATGGATCCGAAGTGCCTAGATTTCAGCATTGCCGACATTTTCTCTTTGCTATGAAATGATTGATCTATTCCTTAAGGTTATCTTGTATTTTTACTGATTTCTACTATTGCTTATGGAGATTTTGTGTTTCTAATACTTAAGACTCCAAATAATTCAAGCCTCAGTTTAGAGAAGTTGTTAAGAAGGGGGCTTGATTAAGAAATAGAGACTGGTTGGCTGTTGGTAAAGCCAGAATTTAATTTAAGCTCTGAAGAGTAGGGTTATTGGCTGGATGGAGTGACTAGTGATTTATTATTTTATTTTTTGGCTCTGACCTCTTCTAATTATACAAATGATCTGTCAGCTAGACTAAACTAGCAACAGGGGTGTATGTTTGTAATAACTGCTGATTTTCTCTTGGTATGAGATGGACTTTCCTTTAAAATATTTTTTTAGCTCTTGATAATAGACCTTTATTTAATTTATTTATTTATATATGGTGCTGAGAATTGAAGCCTTTGCCTCACACATGCCAGTCAAGTGCTCTACCACCAAGCCACAACCCCAGCTCTTAGATGGACTTTTCATGTTTACCAGAATCCTGCAAAACAAAAGCAAGCTACTACTTAGTTTATGTTCTAGGGAATACTGATGTTCTTTTGTAGGAGCATGGCACTTATATGACACTTATGCTTTTCAAAAAAAATTCATATCTGCTCTCATTTTATACAACTATTCTGCAAATGAGATAGAACAGGACTAATTCCTATTTGACAGGGGATGCTGAGGCATAAATGAAAGATGGGGTTACAGTTGCTGGGTCAACAAATAAATGACTGGGACAACCTGTTATAATTTCATTTTTGAGCTGTCGCTTTGGAACATTATATAGGAGTGAAAAAACTGAATGCTGTCTCTATTTGTTGTTACTTTTTAGCGGCGTCTTCGGCATCTTCGAAACATTGCGGCCCGGAACATTGTTAATAGAAATGGCCATCAACTGCTTGATACCTACTTCACACTTCACTTGTGTAATACTGAAAAAATATATAAAGGTAAGGGAATTTGTGGACCCATCGATTGTTACATCTCATTTTTATTCTTTTGTAGCACAAGTGATTTTTTTTTTAGTGCCTCCAGTTATTGCTGCTTATTGGAAAGTTCAGTTGTCATTCTGTCATGTTGAACAATTGTATATATTAAAGAAGCATGGCTAATAGTTCTTTCTGGTAACTTTCTGATAGTTTGTCATTCTTTTATGAATGTAGCTGTTAATATTCCAGTAGCTGCATTTAAAATGGAGTATGTGATTCCACTAAACATTTTCTTTGCTCTTATGGTAAAATAGAAATCTAGTTTGTGTCTTCTTTTTTTGGTGATGCTGGGGATTGCACCCAAGGCCTTGTGCATTCTAGGTAAGCACTCTACCAACTGAGCTATATATATCCCCAGCCCCATGTTTGTGTCTTCTTATACCTGTAATTTCTTCTGTAATGGGATCCTTTTCAGAAGAGTGTCATATTTTTTCTCTTTCATGTATTGTATTATGGATTCTTCCGTAAGTGACATTTCTAAGAATAGATGAAATATTTAATTCAAAATCACAATCATCTTTGGAACACATGTTGAAACAAAAGACACTTTTATAAAACCAGTTGACTTAAGTGGGATGAACTTACATGTTATCATAGGCTGTTTTTTGAAGTTATCTCAACGAAATGATCATGAACATGTTTAGGGAACAGGTGGTGAAAAAATCACAGAGAATTCCAGGCCCTGGTAATAGTACTGAGTCTTTCACTCACTTGGAAGCCTTATGAGCCTCACTTAATTTATCCTTAAAATGAGAGAACTGAGGATTTCTGTGACTTCCTTCTGCTCTGAAATCTCATGGTTGAATGAAATCTCTTCATAAGTTTTGTTGGGCTTTGTAAAGCTTTCTCTCAGTAATCCTAGTGAATATCACCTTATCTTTTTTTTTTTTGTACCAGGGATTGAGCCCAGAGGCACTGTCTGAGCCACATTCTCCAGCCCTTTTTATGTTTTATTTAGAGACAAGGTCTTGCTGAGTTGCTTAGGGCCTTGCTAAATTGCTGAGGCTGGCTTTGAACTCTCGATCCTCTTGCCTCATCCTCCCGAGCTGCTGGGATTACAGGCATGTGCCACCATGCTCAGCAGGTCACCTTATCTTTATTGGACCTGTCATGACAAACATGAATATTTCATGATCATTATATGGTCCTTGGTGTAAAATGACTATGATGAAAGGTCAGTTGGCTCTTCTCACTGAACTACTTGTACTACCTATTTAGTGGTATCATTTCTTAGTTTTACAAGAAATTTTTTTATTGGAAGAATATCTGAAATGCTGGTTTCTAAGTATTCTTTTATTTTAGCAGGTCTCAAGAACATATGTGTGAAATTTTTTTGACTTTTGATATCTTTTTAGTGCTGGTAGGAGATTTTCGGTTAAGGTAGTTCACATCAAATACCAATTGTTATATCCCCATAGAATAAAACCTGTTGTATGGATGGGGAACTAGGTTCTAATTTTGTTTCCCTCATAAAGTTGAAATTTTTATAACATCAGATTTGTTCTTCATTCAGTTATTTTCTCAGTTGTGAAATATCTGTGTCTGTCTTCTCCTGGAATACCAACTAGCTGCGATACATCTGAAGAAGAACTCAATACAATCTAATTTGATGATCTCATCCAAGTTTCATATTTAAATATGATCTATTGACCTTTCCTCTGAACTCATACTCCTATATCCAGTTGTACAACCCCCTTTGAAGTCTAGTAGTAACTTAACCTTGGTGTCACCTTTCCATTGCTGTGACCAAATACCTGAGATAAACCACTTAAAGGAGGAAAGATTTATTTTTGCTTATGTTTCAGAGATTTCAGTTCATAGTTGGCTTTATTTCTGTGAACTTGTGGTAAGGCAGGACATCATGGTCAGGAGAAAATGTTGGAACAATGTTCTTCACTCTGTGATGGCCAAGAAGCAGAGGTGGATGTGGAGGGGTGGGGAGGCAAGATGTAATTCCCAAGGACCTTCCGCTAGGTCCCACCTCCTCCAGTTTCCACCATCTCCCAGTAGTCTTTTCAACTATAAATTCATCAGTGGATTAATTCATTGAAGAGGTCAGAGCCCTCAATCACTTCCCAAAAGCCCCACCTCTGAACATTGCTGCATTGATCACCAACCCTTCAACACATGAGCCTTTGGGGGGCATTCCAGATCCAAACTGTAACAAGTGGTATGTTCAGAAATGAATTTCTGATGTTCTAATCCTGAATTCATTCGTCTATTACAAAAATGGCAACTCCGTTTCCTTGCTAAAAACCTTGGAATCATCCTGGATTGTCATCTTTCTGTTATATCCCACATCCAATTTGTTAACAAGTACTTTGGGCTGTTATTATTAATATGTTGCCATAATCAGATCACTTCTTGCAATCTCCAAACCATCATCTCTTGCCTGAATTGTTGAAGTGTTCTTGTAACAGGTTTGTCTGTCTGTGTCTCTCCCTCACTCTGTTCTCAACTAAGATTCTATTAAAATGAAAATCAGATTGTGATATTCTCCTCAAAATCCCCCAGTGGCTTCCTCCCTCATTCAGAATAAAAGCCAAAAACTCGTGTGGTTTCCTTGAAGGCTCATGATTTGACCCTCTGCTGCCTCTCATGTTCCTCTCCTGCCCTCCTGACCTTGCTGTTTATTTGCCCCAAGCTCTTTCCTCCAGGTAGCCACATTACTAGCCTTTCACCTTTCTGCAGGTCTTTATTCCTCTTGTTTCTCAGAGAAATTCCTTGATCACCCACTAACCCTCTTGCAGATTGTGACTATCCTGCCTGTCTTTTGTGCTTTATTTTTGTCCACAGTACTTACGCTCATCCAGCATACAGTATGTTCAGTTATTTGGTAACATATGGCTCCTCCACTAGAATGTAAACTCCACGAGAGCAGAAATTTTAAAGTTTACCTTAGCTCACTGTTGTGTTCCTAAAACCTGGAACAATACTTGGCATGTGCTAATACATATCTTTTTTTTTTTCTAAATTTAATTTTTGAATAGATAATTCAGTCTGTGGTTCAAAATATATACAAAGGTTTAAATTAAAACCTTCCTTTCACGGGTCTCCCATCATCCTAGTTTTCCACCTCACCCTGATAACTATTCTTACTCATTTCTGTTCATCTTTCCTGAGATTCTTTAGGGCAAATACAAGTAAAAATAGGAGTGTTCTTATTCTTTTCTCCTCTCTTGTTCACACAAAGATACCACCCTACTTACTCCACTTAATGTATCTTAAATGGCTTTTTCCATGTTGGTTTAAAGACCCTCCCTAATTTTTTCCTTACATAATTTTACACTGAATATGTGTACCATAATTTATGTAACTGGCTCCTGTTCTTGGGCATTTAGGCTGTTTCAGTCTTTTGTTATAGTATTGCATCAAACAACTTTGTAAGTACACTGTTTTGTTTGTGTGCTAGTATACCTGTAGGGTAAATTTCAAGAAGTGCACTTACTGGGACAAAAAGATTGTGCACTTTGTTTTGTTAGCTACTGCAAGATTGCCTTCATGTGAATTGCTTCTTGCATGAGTGCCTTTGTTTCCACAGCCTCACAAATGGACTATGCAAATTTTTGAATTTTTGCCAGTCTGATAGGTGAAAAATAGTTTTGTAGTATAGTTTAAGCTTGTATTTTTCCTGTTATGAGTGAGTCTGATGCACTAATAAGCATATGTTAAATGGATTGCATGTAGTATGACAGCCCAAACTTGCCATTTTAGCCATGCTTTGCCATCTCTTGATTCTGTAACTGTTAAAAGTTACTGTAACTTTTGGGGTGTTTTGAATAATGCTATACAAAACAATCTTTTTAAAGATGTTTTTCCTAAAACACATGAATGTATGAGACAAACCTTTGGAAGTAAAATTGCAAGATCAAAGACCAATTCATTATTTTAAAACTTATGTCTAAGCATAATCTGTGAAATTGTTTAATCAGTAAAACATATTTCCCAAGTATCTCCTCTGTGCCAGGAGTGGTTTAACATGCTTAGGAAAGAGTGGATGTACAGAACAAGTGCTGGGGCTCATGGGCTTATGGTTATGGGTTAAATATGTGACACATAAATTTCAACATATTAGGGGAAAAAATTTGTCTATGTATCAGCTCAGATCATCTCAAGTACCAGTAGGATGTACATCACACTGGGGAAACAATATAAGGATGCAGGAGTCCTTATGGGTTCTGCCATGGCAGAGAAGCACTGGGATTACTTGGGCAGAGTAAGCAGAGGGAATATGGAGCATTGTTGGGTCAGAAACCTAAGGTATTTTGATGTTGTCTTTGGGTATTGTAACACCAACATATATGAAGGTTTGTAGGATCAAGAATTTTTGATGTTTATAGAGGACCTTTGATTATTACTCTAATCTCTATTTGTCTAGTCAAGAAGTTGACTAAGGAAGTTAAAGAGACAGAATGTTAGTGACAGAGGTGGAGATTGAGTTTAGCTTACCAGGTTGCTAGGACAGTATTTATTCCACAAGACTACAGTGAATAATCGTAAGAGATTTTTTCTTTTTTTTTTTTTTTAAAGTACCCAGGATTGAACCTAGGGGTATTTAACCACTGAGTCCCACCCCCAGCCCTTTTTATTTTATTTTTTAAATTTTGAGACAGGGTCTTGCTGTGTTGTTTAGTTGCTGAGGCTGGTCACAAACCTGCAATTCTCCTGCCTCAGCCTCTTAAGTTGCTGGGATTATAGGAGTGAGCCACCTGGCTTGACTTATAGAGATGTTTGAGTAGAACAGGATAAATGGAATCAGCTGTAGAGAGTAGTAGTGGGGGGCGGGGGGAGGAAGAAGAAAGTTTGAGATTTTAAGGGCTCAAGTTAGAATCCGTGGTAAAAGGAGCTAGACAACAATCACTAAATTAAACCTGAGATTTGAACCTTCTTCAAAAGTGATATTTCCCCTTTAAAGCACTTTAATTTAATCTTTATTTCTATTTTTATTTTTTGTAGATAAAGACAACACAGAATAGAGCCCTTGAACATGTTTAAAATGTTTTACTAGAATATATGTTTGAAAATATACAAGATTAAGGGTTAGTTAATTAACTTATTTTCTTTCATATCACTTATTGTTCTTTTTCTTCTTTTCCAGAATTTTATAGAAGTGAAGTGATTAAGAATTCCTTGGTAAGTTTGCTTTCTGACAGGAACATATGATTAAGCCTATATAACCCCTCCCTCAGAAAACATAGAGATGTAAAATAAGTTGAGGCTCAGTTCTCATATTATGATACTTTGGCAAATCTTTAATCAATTATTATTAAATTATCACTTATTTGTTCATCACTTCTATCTTGTTAAGAAAAATGCCTGGCACATAGTAGGTGCTTGATAAATATTTACTGACTAAATTAATATATTTTTTCTATTGGAAACTTTGTTAAAAACTCAAATTCTGTTTCTGAAACTTTCACTTACTATAAAGAGTGTTTTTATTATTTGACTTGCCAAACATAATAAATGTTACCTTTGTTTAGTAAGGTTTTTAAGAATATTTTGCATAGGGTCTTTGTATAAGGTATATTGTTTCTTGGCTGTGGCATTGCTCAGTTACAAAGTTGGAGGTGTCCTATGTTTGATAATGTATATGCTGGATATTTGCATAAATGCTTCATTTATTACACTGTATTGAAAAAAAAAAAAGAAGAGCTTTTTGATAATGAAAATATCCTTTTAGGGCTAGGTGAAGTGATGCATGTCTGTAATTCCAGCAACTCAAGAGGCTTAGGCAGGAGGTTCAAAAATTTGATGCTAAGTCTCAGCAACTTAGTGAGACCCTGTCTTAAAATAGAAAGAACTGGAGATGTACTTCAATGATAAAGTGTCCCTGAGTTCAATCCCTAGTACCAGGGGGGAAAACAAAAGTAGAGAAAGAAAAAAGAAAACATCTTTTTAGAGGTCTAAGCCCATACTGGGTTTGGCTCATGTTTACTTTCTCAGTCTCGTCTCCGAACACTCTTTTCACTCATTGTGTTCAAGCCTGCCTTCTTTCAATGTTTCACACGTGCCTCACCTGTTGTTCCTTATACACTTGTTTCCTCAGCTCTTTGCTTGGCTGAAGAGGTCTTTGAGGTTTCAGCAAGGCCTGTGACCATTTCCTTCTTTACTCTATCTAGTCACTTTATTTTTCATATCACCCTGTTTTCTTTGTAGCATTTATCACTATTGCTCACTTATTTGTTTGAGTTTATTAACTGCCTTTCACCTACTACAATGTAAGTTCCATTTGTTCAAGATCTTGCCTGTCTTGTTCATGACTGTAACCCTGGAGTCTAGAATAGATGCTTAACTGCTTGTTAAATGAATAAATGCATATCAGTGATGCATTGTATTTATAGAATCCTTGTACATATGTTACTCCATTTTCATTTTTAGAACAGCCTGTCAGGCAGATGGGACAAATCTTAAGAAATCAATAGCCAGAGAGGCCCAGTGACTTTTGCAGAGACACACAACTTCAGGACCAGAACCCCAATCCAGACTACTGTCTTTAGGACTCTATTGCTCTTTGTTCCTCCTCAAGCTGTCTCCTAAATATCTCTAAAATATCATAACAGATTTGGATCCTAGGGCAGAGAGGTTCCTTGAGCCTGTCTCTGGAGAAGTCTGAAGCTCTGGTTCTATAAATGTTAAATGACATATGATAAATGCCTCTTGCCATGCTTAACGTAGAATAAATTATTAATTTTTCCTGTCTTGGCTCAGGTGGATAGAGAGAGTCTTGCAGTGGAGAACTAGGGGTGATTCAGGCCCAGATAGGGTAGAATTTTGCTTTGTTGATTTCTTTTATACCTTTTCCCATGGCCAGACATTTCTGTAGTTGGGAGTGGCTTACAGTAGCCCATGGCTTTTTCTCCTGGATTTGTGTCATATTGATCCTATACCAAGTGGTATGTTGGTATATTGTTCTACCTCATTAGTATTATATTTATTTGATATTCATTTGATTTCCAAATTCTTGTTTCTAAACATCATCTCTCTGATTGTTAACTTCTATCTTGAACTCCTTTTGGTTTCTATATTCAGTTGCTTTGAAACTGTCTGTGAAGTTGTGACAACTGCTTTCCTGGTACATGTAGCCTGAATACTTGAAGGATATTATAGAATGGATCCAAGACAAAGGAGTGAATCAGACTAAGAGTCCCTTTCATCTCAGTTTGTAGTGAATAGTAATTGTTTCCTGAGTATAGTCTTTATAACATTTGCTTGCATTGTAATTGTTTATGAGCATTCTCCTAAAGTAGGTGAAAGTTTCTGGAGGTCCAAGCCTGCAATTGTTTATTCCGTGTTCCCAGTGTACTTATTCTGTTGGGTAGTTGTTCAATAAATGTTGATTTGTTGATATTTATTTTAAGGATAATCTTTGGAATTATATTTTTGGCCAGGACTCTTGTTTGCTTTTATATCTTAATATAGGTTCAGTACATTTTATTTTTTCGGGCTGTGGCTGTGGCTCAGTGGTAGAGCACTTGCCTAGCAAGTGTGAGGCACTAGGTTCAATTCTCAGCACCACATATAAATAAATGAGTAAAATAAAAGTCCATCAACATCTAAAAAAATTTTACAAAATTTTTATTTTTTCTTTCTGAAGGAATTCTTCTTTCTTACTTTTCTTCTAAATTGTTGTGATTGGTTCAGTTTAATGGGCATTGAATCCTGCAGTAGTCAACAATACCGAGGATAAGCCAGGGGCAGCACATTGTTCCCTTCCATTCCATTTCTTTCCTGTTTAGGATTTTTTTGGGGAGTGGGGTGGTACTGGGAATTTAACTCAGGGGCACTTGACCACTGAGCCACATCCCCAGCCCTATTTTTTTTTTTAAATTTATTTTTTAGTTTTAGTTGGACACAATACCTTTATTTATTTTTATGTGGTGCTGAGGATCGAACCCAGGGCCTTGTACGTGCTAGGCGAGTGCTACACCACTGAGCCACAACCCCAGCCCTATTTTTTGTATTTTAGAGACAGAGTCTCACTGAATTGCTTAGTGCCTCGCTTTTTGCTGAGGCTGGCTTTGAACTCCTGATCCTCCTGTCTCAGCCTCCCGAGCTGCTGAGATTATAGGCCTGCACCATCATACCCAGCCCTGTTTAGGATTTTTTAAATCCTTCAGCTATTGTGATAATTGCTGGGTAGAGTTAGTGGTTTCAATGCTTTTATCTCAGATGATTACTATTGTACTTGGCATTTAGAAGATGTGTAGCAAACGTTTCTTGAATAAAATAATTCTTCCAAAGTACAAATTTATTGATTCACCACTATGTATTAATATCCTAAAACCTCACATCCTCAATTAAGTATCAGAAGATTAGGTGAAGAGTTTAATAGTTTATTTCTAGAAAGGCATAGGTGAACTTAGTTGGACACTGATGAACTTGTAAGTATTCTTTTTCACTCGTGTAACTTTTAGACTTTTTTCCTAGGTTTATATCCTGAGCTTGATTCTGAAACCAGAGTAGCTTGGTTTTGCCACTCTGATGTCAAAGGAGACATGGAAAAATGAACTTGAAAGTATTAAAAATAATATTTTCTCTCAAAGTTTGTATAAACTGTCCTTATTCTGGGCCCCTTTTTAACTCTTAAGTGCTCCAGATTATCACTATCCAAGAAAACTTTCTACAATGATGGTAATGTTCAGTGTACCACTGAGTACAGTTGGCACTTAACCATGTGTGGCCATTGAACACTTGAAATGTGGTTGAGTCTTACTTTGGAACTGAATTTTAAATTTTATTTGAGTTAAATAGCCCCATGTTGCCCTTAGCTACTATATTAGACAACACAATTCGAGATGCTTCTGAAAGCTTTATTATAATTCTTAGCAGAAAGAAATCCCCCCCTTTTTGAAGTACTTTTTACTTTTCTTGTACTACTAGTATCATTCTAAATCCATATAATAACTGCATGTTTGTTTTTGCTTATTTTATATATAATAATCTTCATAAAAGCAAGGACCTTGTATGCTTCATTTTTATAATTCCCATAGTCATTGTATTATGCTTTCCTTGGACTTTGCAAACAAGAAAATATGTATAATGTACTGTGTGTGCATGTGTGTATGTGTAGTATGTTTTATATACACACACACACATATATAACACACACACACACACACAAAATAATGGTGAGCTTTTACAATTGGCAATAAGGATTTGGATACACACACTTATATATTTGTGTATATATTTATATATTGTGTGTGTGTGTATATACAAATTGTAAAACTCACCATTATTTTATGTTCAACAACAATAAAAAGAAATTAAATAAATGAACAAACACTTGTCATTAAACTGAAGCACATGGCCTGGGTCATGGTCTTGTGAGGTTTGTGATTGACTTTTGTAACCTCTTATTTGGATTTTTTTCCATCTCTTTCAAGATGTTTAGCAGTCTTTTCTTCCTTCAGTTGCATTGCTTGACTTGTGTTAGGGAATCCTTTATTTGTATGTCAGCAATAAAATATAAATTAATTTCCTCAGCTTGTGGGAATTTCTTTAAGTCTCATAAGGAAGTTGGATGAAGTTTTCTTCATTGATAAATATTTGCTTCTCAAATATTAAATTAATGTCTCTCATCTCTCATTTCTGTAGTTCATTGCCTAAATAAAAACTTAATATTTTAAATTGATTCTTAACACACATGTATAAGGGTTTATAGGTCGTAAGTATAATAATAATAATGAAATTTTTCAAATGGAATACACCGAATAATCAGCATCCAGATCAAAAAATAGAATATTTCAGTACCGCAGAAGCTTCCTCATCTCTTCTCACTTACTGTTCCTCTTTTGATTTTTAATACCATATACTAATTTTGTCATATATATTCTTTGCTGTCTGACTTCTACGTTTCAACTTGATATTGTAAGATTAATTCGTATCGTACAGTGTATTTGATTTGTATTGTATAGTGTTCCATAGTGTGAATATAACAGAGGATCCATTTTTCTGTTGACAGACATTTGGTTAGTTTCTGGTTTTGAGCTAATACGAAGAGTGCTCCACTATACATGTTCTCCTATGTCTTTTGGTGGACGTACGTATGCATTACTGTTCAGTATGTATCTAGAAGTAGAATTTCTGAGAATATGCATATGATTAGCTGAAGCTACTAAACAATTTTC